GGGGGGTGGATTGGGGAAGGGGGTTGTCACTTTGTGAGGGGTGAAAAGCATAACTATTGCATTGTTTTGTAAACCTGAAACTAATAAAAAAAATTTTCAATCCACATTCTAACAGCATTGTAGTGGAAGGTCCCATGTCTCTCCCAGCTAAGCTGGAACAGCCTGGCCCAGTGGAGAAGAGGCGATCAGAAGTTGCCATCACATAAATCATGTAAAGTGATCAACAGTCTTTAAGGAAAGATATGTCTTTAATGGCAGCATTTCTCATCTAGTACCTGCTTGGTCCATTTCTCTAATACGGACTTCTGGATCCCAGCAGTTCTCTTGGATTACTCTGAAGACCTTCCCATCTTTCAGCATCTTTGCTTCTCCCTAGGGCAGAAAACACACATCGGCAAAAGGCAACCCAAGCTTACTTAGATTAATTCTTCCTTGTATGCTTTGGAACATGGTTTTCCTTAACATTTTTAGGGGTTTTAATTAATCCTAAAAAAAGTAGAAATCTGTTCATTTCCTGGAACTCAGCTTTTCACCCTCACGCCTTAATATTGGCCTGGAGTTAAAAGGTGTGCTCTGTGGGTGCCAGTGACTGGACACAGAGAGAACAAGGTCATGGTCATGGCCTTTTGGGGCTGCATGACTGAGGACGGCTGGTCATCTTGCCGATCTGAGCCACTGGCTACAAGCCCCAAGAGAAGGCCCCGTGTCTGGAAAACTCCAGATCTATAACATTTTAGAATTGAAAAGGACCTCTGAGATAGACCATCTAGTCCAACCTTCTTGTTTTATAGAGAAGGAACAGATGGATAGTGAGAATAACTGATTTTTCTAACAGAGCAGGGCCCTCTGATACCCACACCTGCAGGAGGAGGTAGGCAGTGAAGTGACTCAGTCCAGCGGCATTTTGCAGTTTGGTGCTGAGCCACTGGCTTCCACCAGCCATCACACCTACCTGCGTACACTCCCTTTTAATACTCAGGGCAGGGGGCCAAACTGAATGGCTGCACAAAGCATGGCAGTAGCCTCTAAAGTGGGTCTCTAATTTGTGATCCCTAAAGAAAAGGGAAAAGTTCTGGTCCAGGTCTCTGAAATCAGACTGCTTAGGTTCAAATCACCATTCTACCACTTACTGTGTGGCCTTGAGCAAGTTAAACAACATCTCTGAGCCTAAGTTTGCTCATCTTTAAAACAGAATTAATAATATGACTTAGCCTAAAAAAATATATATATATATACATACAGATATATGTATATATATATACACACACACACATATACACTTTTTTGGATATATATATATATATATATATATATATATATATATATTGTCAGGAAAGTCATGATACATTTTTGCAATGAAAAACATAGAAAAAATACACCATGACTTTTCTGACAACCCAATATATATCTATTTAAGTTAAGTCATATTATTAATTCGATATATATATATGTTTATATATATATATATTCCACCCCCAAAATATATATCCCCCAAAATGTATACACATTTTAAGAAGGGAAAAAACTCTTAAAATTGTAACACTCAATATATACCAATAACAAAAGATGAATACAAGTCACATTAGACTTCTGCCATTGCAAGAGGTGCTCAAAGTGGTTACCATCAGCACCCAGACACTTCTGATTATGGTGAACTGCTTGAGCAACGTTGACCAGTGTCCACTTGTGTACATTTTTTTGACACCCATGGTGTATATGTGTGCGTGTGTGTATGGTGCCAAAAAATGTATACATATTTTAAGAAAGGAAAAAACTGTATTAAAATTGTAATATAATGAATGACACTTTCATTTGATTAACGACATCTTTTGAGCAAATGTCATACTACGCATTGCTACTGTAATTCAACTTCGAAAAGTAATACATAGATAACATCTCTCAAAATGTTTGCATTTTTTTGGCGCCCCCAGCATATATGATTTACCGTAAAAGATCTTGTGAACATGAAATGGGATAATCCATATAAAGCGCCTAGTGGAGTACCTGTCACATGTGAAGTGTCTGAGTATTAGTTATTAATGATGTATGGCTAATTAGAGACTAGGCTAGCTCCGATGTTCCCCTGCTTTAAGGGCACACCACCTATGGTGGTGCTTCAGGGCCTCAAGATTGCCCTTGAGCCCTACATGATGGCCACGTGCGCATGTGGTCATCAAAGGCCCTGAGCTCTGCTTGCTGGAGTCCTCTGCCCTCCTCTTCCTCTTGGTTTGATCATGAGTTGCACGCAGGCCTTGCTACAGCTTCCTTCTCCATCCTTCGATTCATGAACTAGACCTTTCCCATCTCCTGCATGGAGAAAGCTGACCACTTTTCACCTTCAAGGGTGGTGACCCAATCACATCTGGCAGGGATGAGGAAAACCTCAGATCCATGTTTACATTTCTCATGGACTGGGGGAAAAGGTCAGTGAGTGAGTGACTTGTGTAACTGTGACAGGTGCCTACACCCAGGCAGAACCAAGTCTCTGACATCTGAACATCAGGATCGATTTGCCTCAGTTCTCATCCTTTGCTGATCCTGCCAGCATCTGAACAACCTCCTGGAGATTCTTGGTGGAGGAAGGGCCCAGCCTCCCTCTAATAAAGTCCCAAAGCCCCAATACTTATTATCCTTGTTCCAAGCTTGGTCAGTCAATGGTTTTTAATCAAGAGCAAGTGATGAAAAAAGACGGGAGCAGTGCATTGATTCTGCCATTGGTTCCAGCACTGGCCATATGCTGTGTCTGTTGTCAGTGGTACTGGTGACAATGTCCAGTGTCCAGCTGGGAGGCTGCAGTTCCCTCACCAGCCTGTTCCTGTGGTGTGGCCTTGGCTGTGGCTTCAAATGCCTGCACATTTTGGGAGTGTGGTTCCCTATGAGTGTGGCCTTTTGTAATTCTTGAGGGCTTAAAATGCTTGCAACATATTTCTTTTCTGCTTAACTAATCATTGTTGGTTTCTGTTGTTTGCAACCAAAAATCCTGAATGATACTGATTGCACAAATAGAATATAAGAATGTGCCTTTCCATTGGTGAAGAAGGGAGTGGAGAGAGGTTTATGGTGAAAGAGAAAAAGGAAACAAACATTCATTTGGCAAATTAGGTTTTTTTTTTTCATTTTGTTCCTTAATAGGAAAGCTTAATCACCATAAAATACCCAGAATAGCAGAGTGCTAAAGTGCATTATCTTTGCATACTGATAGATCTCGGTTTAAAGCTCATTAAATTATTTACTAGCAGTATAACTGGCTAATTTGTGGGCCTTTCGAGTTTAAGACTCATTTTTTTTTTAAGTTGGAGAATTGAGGGAGGGGAACAGTGTTGCGGGGAATTGGGGAGGGGGAACCAGCAAGTTGTTGTTCTTCAATCTTAGTTGTGGAGGGCGCCAGTCGCCATCTGGCTGCAAGTCGGCAGCTTGTGACCTCTAAGCTCAAGGTGCTGTGTTACAATCTTAGTTGCAGGTGGGCGTAGCCACCATCCCATGTGGGAGTCGAACCAGCAGCCTTGTTGTTAAGAGCTCATGCTCTATCCACTGAGCCATCTGGGCGGCATCTCAGCTCAAGGTGCCGAGTTTAGTCTTAGTTGCAGGCAGGCATAGCCCACAATCGAACAGACAGTCTTGTTGTTAGGAGCATGTGCTCTCACCAGCTGCGCCATCCTGCCACCCGTTGGCAGCTGAGGGGCAGCTCAGCGCAGGCGCAGCATCACTAGTCCATGTGGGATTCAAACTGGCAGCCATGTTGCTCAGAGCTCGTGCTCTTAAGCTAACTCTTAACCAACTGAGCCCAACTCGGTCGGCCCAAGACTCATTTTTTTCTATCTGTAAAATGTGGACTATTGTATTTGTCATGTTTGTGTCCACCCAACATCTTTGGAACACTTCCTATACATGAAGAAATTTTCACATTATGATTCCCCCTTCCTGAGGGAGAATCCAGTATTCACTTTCCCAACCTTCCTTGCAGCGAGGGCACTGATATGTACTAGAGGCCCCCACATGGGACCTCGATTTGGAAGTGAGTGCTGTGAGGAAGCAGGGACCTTGCAGAATCTATCTTTTGGCCAAGCTGTTGTCTGAGGTGTCAGACTGGCTGGAGGAGAAACGGCAGCACTTTCGTCTCCAATCTCAGCAGCATCAGCATGAGCTTGAGCTCCGTGTCTGTGACCAGGAGTGGCCCCCCAGGTACGACTGGGCATGGTGCATGTTAGCACAGCCTCTGAGCTTGATCTCAGACTCTCCCAGGAAGTCTGTGAGCTGTTTTTCTAATTAAATTAATAGCTTGGTGTGGATTCTGTTTGTAACTAAGAACACTGAGTGATTCAGAAGATTCAATAATAGAATATTTGTAAAGAACTTAACACCAGGCCAGAGAACAGGCTCAATCAATTATGGCCAGAGTTTACCATATAGAGTAACTCCCCCTTATACACGGGAGATGCATTCTAAGACTCCCAGGGGATGCCTGAAACTAAGGATAGTACTGAACCCTACACAAGGTCAGACAATTAAGTTTGTGAACTTGTTGCAACGATGTTGCTTACCTTTTTTGATATCAGAGGGATTATTCATTATGAATTTGTACCAACTGGACAAACAGTTAACCAAGTGTACTATTTGGAAGTGCTGAAAAGGCTGTGTGAATAAGTTAGATGATCTGAACTTTTTGCCAACCTTTCATGGCTCTTGCAGCACGACAATGCATCAGCTCACACGGCACTGTCTGTGAGGGAGTTTTTAGCCAGTAAACAAATAGGTGTATTGGAACACCCTCCCTGCTCCCCTGATCTGGCCCCCAATGACTTCTTTCTTTACCCAAAGATAAAGGAAGACATTTTGATGACATTCAGGACATCAAGGGTAATACGACAGCACTGATGGCCATTCCAGAAAAAGAGTTCCAAAATTGCTTTGAAGGGTGGACTAGGTGCTGGCATTGGTGCAAAGCTTCCCAAGGGGAGTACTTCAAAGGTGACCATAGTGACATTCAGCAATGAGGTATGTAGCACTTTTTCTAGGATGAGTTCGCAAACTTAATTGTCAGACTTCATATATACTATGTTTTTTCCTACACATACATATTTATGATAAAATTTAATTTATAAATTAGGCAAAGTAAGAGATTAACAATAGTAACATAAAATAGAACAATTATAACAATATACTGTAATAAAAGTTATGTGAAAGTAGTCTCTCTCTGTTCATGTCTTCCACCCATAAATGTAATTAATGCCTTTTCTATTTTAACTAAGCACTTTTATCATGCACTTAAATGCTTATGCACTGTGACCATAACTTTTGCAATCTGAGATGTGACAGCAAAATTAGCACAAATTTCTTTTTCCTTTTCAAAGTTTCATGGATAGAAGATTCAT